AGGATAAATTGTGTTATGAATTATGGACATTTAGCAAAATCAATAAAACTGGGTAAAAATGTTATAAAAGCTGTTGCTGTTTTTGCATTTATGATGAAAAAAAAAGCACAATTTAAAAAATCAATTATGCCAACATAGCCTAAAGAGTTTCTGGCTGCCACAACTATTCTTCCATTAATTAATCTATTGATTTTTCTGATTAGTGCATCATCTACATAAATAATTTTCCTTTACATGTATTTTATTTTCAACAAACTTTATGTCATTGTTTAATGCAGCGAGTTAAACAGGCAACTATAACATTATAAAAATAAATTAGTTCAAGCTAGTAGTGCAATTACAAAATCAGAGTTTCCAAAAAAATAACAAGTGATAAAGTGCGGTCTGTATAGTAAAACAATATGTAAATGAGAACCTCGTTATTGGGAATTTAGCTGTATTAAAATACAGTGTATATGAGCACAGAGGCAGGAGAGAATCCAAAAAATGCAAAGTGCATCTGCACCAAATAGTGTCAGTGTGTTTTCTCTCCAGGTGCTCCTGCATTGTTCTGCTGTGCCCTGCCGTTCAAGTTCTATATAGTGCAATGATCGTTTCAAGTACTTCCATATTTTTAAAGCCTTGGGTCTTCCATACTGAAGTGAGTCAGACTCTGCTGCTGCCACCATTGTCTGAAGTGTCGTGCTCAGTGTGATAGCAAAGGGAAACAACTGTGATACTGGGTAAAAACATTTGTTAATAAATAAACCTTGTGGCACTAAAGATATTGATGTTGACGCACACAAAGTCATTGATTATACAGAGTAATTGCAGCAGCTTTAAAACAGTTGTGTGACATGTTTGGAATTTATTAGACTTCCACTAAAGCTCTTGCAAAGTAAGACATTGGAGATTTCCTGTACACAATTCAGTTATTGTCACGTGACCTCAGAATGATATTTCAAAATGTTTTGTTTTGTATTTGTATCTTCTGCACCTTTTTAAATCTGGGTTTTATGACATCTTAAAACGATACCCAGCATTCCCCAGTGCAGAGCTTCACAACTATAACAACGCATAGAGTTGATCTGGTAGTAATAACCTCCTGTGTCCACTTTTATTGAGAGCTAAGTTGCACACTTTTGTGTTGGCCCTCACAAACGCCACACTTTCAGAATACGGTATCTCATATCAAACAGAAAAATGTCTCATTACAGAATCTAGACACATAGAAGATGACTGATGCTGCTGACTGTGATTATCGCATCACAATATACCAGATGGTTGTGCAGAGCTTAGCCAGTATCCTCTACCACCATAATTATAGTAGAGAAGAGTATTATTGCTTCATATAATGGTAACCATTGCATATGTTCTGCCTGCCAGAAAGGTTTTCCTTCAGCTTTGAGTACAAATTATCAAGAGACAGCCTGAAAAATTGTGAACTCACCCTCTGGGTACTGCGACGAAATAAAAAATAAAGCTTTATGGGCTCAAGTCATAATCAAAATGTAAATGCAGCGGGGATAACCAGACTACTGGAAATTAAAACGCAAGAGAAGAAATCTGCCATCGTGGGGAAAAGGCTATTTTCATTCTGTTCGTTTTCATTGTTCCTTCAGTTTGTCCCAATTCATTCAAAGCATAACCCTCTTACTCCTAAACCTTTAATCCAATGAGCACAATTCCATCTTTCTCTGCGGTTATTGCAAAATCACTTAACCACTCTGCTCTTTATAGACCACTCCCAAACCAAATCACACTGCCAAATATGTGGCATATAAAAATCCTGTTTATCAGCCATGTTTTTCAGTATGTTCCGGAGGAAGAATTCAGGACTGGTGCAGCATCGGTCATAGTGCCATATCACCTCACATACACCTGGCCTACCACAGTTACACAGTTCAACCAACATCTATGTGTACGTATCTATAGACGATGCATTTGTTTGCTGCATTGCTTAGACCAAGACACCTGTTTTATTTACAAAAAGCTCTTATTATTGTTAATAAACTGGGATATTTGTTGTATTATCCTGACCTTTACCAACACTGAGGCCTTCTGGGTTTTAGATTTATGCAGTTTAACCACATTTTGTGTTCAAATTCTGGTTCTCCTGCACCATCCTTTCATCTGTGCCAACCAATAGACTGTAATTGTACCAGAGCTGCCGTGACCTTAGTGTGAATTTACCAGCACATTGCAAGCATCTTTTCTTGTTCTTTGCTTTGTAGGCATCTCCAGGAAGTTAACAAGAGGTCAAAATCACAAGGTTTTTATTTGGACTTTATGCTTAATTTGTCACTTTTCAGGTTTTCTTGACCTGTTACACCCCTAAGAGACACAATTGTCCTTCTGTTTACATGTTTTGGAAATCTGGCAGTACTTAGTCATTCCCAAAGGCTTTGAGAATGCATCCTGCATAATGTGAATTCATGGATTCGCTTGAGTCACCCCGGGGGCGACTTTAAATTCTGACGCCAATTGACAGCTTTTGAAGTTCCAAATCTGGCCAGATAGACAAATGGTGGGATGGATGGGAATTTGTTTCCAGCATCAAGGGATTTCAGAGGACAGAACCACTGGGGCAAAATGGCATTCCCCATCAGACTGCCAATTTGGCAAAGCCCAAAGTAAGTGAGACTTAGACCAGACCAAGGGGGTGTACATGTTTCATTAATAAAAAAAAATGAGTACAAGCGCAGGGCTGTTTCAAATGTGTCTGTCTGTCTGTCTGTCTAAACCTTTTTCTAAAGCTCTAAAAGGTTGCTAGGGTTTTATGTTTCTGTTACGGGGGTCATTCTTGTTGGTAAGAAGCTGCTTGTTCTAATAGATTTTCGTTTTTGCCTCTCTTTCACTTGTAATTCTCTCATAAGACATTGTGACAAATGCAACCAGGTGAGCGCATTCTGGGTTTAACTATGAAGTACAGAAAGAAAAAAATCTGACACGTGTAGAATAAAGTACAATAAATACCAAATTAAGCAGAGCAGAGTTGAGTGCAGAATGTTAAATGCGCAGCACAAACCCTGAGGTGTGCATTCATCTACTGAAGCTGACTGTTGAAACTCCGCTGGTGCTGACTGGTAATCACATACACCATCAACAACTGAAGACACAATTGCTGTGATCATCGCTAAACAGCACAATTGCCTATGGTTTCTAACTTAAACAAACCAACAACATCCTACACCATACAATCACAAAAAAAACAACAACATCCTACATCTCTGTTCTCAATACCTGCTGAAACTGCTTCATTCTAGCCAGCGTCGGGTCAGGCTCATAGCTGAAGCCAGATATCCACTCAGAACTGTATATATTTAACAAATGCTTAGAATTATTTTTTGACTATGCAGTTCATTTGTCAATTACTTTGGCTTAACACAAAGAAATCATAACTTTTTGGGCATGTGTAATTTGAGAGAGCTACACACCAGGACACTGGGAAACATAAGGAGGGGAAATCTCCAGGAAAGCAGATGCTGCAGCAAACTTATAGGTGTATTTTAAGACCACTTTTTAATAAAATAAACCAAAACGCAGCCAAATGACAGCAGCTGTGACATCAGCTACAAAATGACTGATCCACTAATGTGAAAGTTAGAAGAGTTAAAGTGGTGGTGCATGGCAAGCTTGGGTGCTTTTTTCATATCAAAATACCAATCGAACACATCTTCGTATGCAGTAGATAACATTATTAGTAAAAATAAATGCACATATCTTTACATTTAAATTCATTTAACTTCCAAAGGAAAGGTAATTGTCACACATGTATGTAGTTTTGGTTGCCTACATCATAGAGTAATCAGGTTAAAACCTTCAGTGTTCAAAACTTCAGAAAAAAGGATTACAGTCCAGCAGGACGGTGGATTGAGGGTGGATTTCAGTTACAATATGTAATAAAATACAATACAACAATTGTATTGTGTAGTATATATACATTTATTTGAGTTTTGCTTTGATTAGTTTTACCATTAGGATGATAAAGTAGATATCAGACGACCTATTAAGCCTGTCAGAACAGTTCAGAAGAAAGAAAATAATTAATTGTTCCTTTAAATAATGCCCTGCAAGCTACAAAACAAAATCACTATATTTTGCTTTAAGTGTATGTTAATTACAAGCAGAGCTTCAAAAAGCTGCTACCTCCACAACTCTCAAAGTTTTTTATTTGGTTAACGACTGGACATTTGTCCTTTTTGTAATTTAAAGCATGTTCGAAACATCCTCAGTGAATCTGTACTTGTTCAAAAGGAATTGCTGTCTGTCTCCTCAAATAAAAAATGTTCGTCTTTGCATAGTCAGTAGCCTGAATTGTGACAGTTAGTCCCATTTACAGCACTTTTTATCTGGGTTTGGTAATTTAGAAAAGTTTATATCTGGATCAGTGGCATCCAATCTGATGCTGCTTTAAAAAAAATAGGAAAGAACTAAGATTGATGACCTAATCCTCGATAGCAAAACAAAGGATTTCCAGGTATAGATCATTCTGATTCAGATTAAACTTTGTGAACAACTCGCCTCTGTCCTTGAACTTATCATTTGTTGCAGGCTTCATACAGTACTGTGGTTTTGTCTCTATTATGTCCTTTCATATTTGAAAAATGAGCTGAATTGGAGGGGAAAAAACAAGAAAATGTGTTTGTGCTTACAACTTAAAATAACATTCAGAGTGTTTGCTTTACAATCATCCCATCAGTTTCTTATATTGGTGGAATTATGAACGCTTCAAAACAAAGATGTCAAGGCAGGAGTTCACAGTTTCGCAGCAGTTCAACTGAGCTAAAGTTGAAAACAAAGCTGCTTTGTCAGACCACTTTTTCATTCACTTCATTTTCCTTTGCAACCTTGATTTGATTTATGGCTGATATGACTGATTTAGCGTATATCACAGTAAGTTTTTCCCTCAGCTTGAGTGAAGGTGATGGCCTTAGAGGGAAGCAGTAATGTAAGTGTGTGTGTGTGTGTGTGTGTGTGTGTGTGTGTGTGTGTGTGTGTGTTTTGCACTGGATATTTACCATGGAGTGTGGCTCCTGGGAGGAGGTACGTGACATGCTGGCTGTATCCACGCTGCCTCGCCTGCTGCTCTTGTGCCCTTCAGCCAGCCAGCACCCCGACATTCCCAGCAGAGCGGCCGCGGCCACAGCCCAAACAGCCAGGCTGCCCATGAGTGTTTATCTGAGTGGAAAAGCGGAAAAAAAAAAAAAACACAATGCACACAAAGTCATTAGACTGGCTTTGTTGTTCCAGCTGCAGTTTCCAAAAATACAACTTATCACCCAGCCCCATAGTTCTTTTAATATTCATTTGAGTTTTGCGGGAATAGAACAGTCTACTTCTCAATACAGAACTTGATGATTAATTAAACAATGTCAAAGTTATGTTGTTGTACATTACCAGTGCAGTGCTTCTGCAAAACATTCAAACTACTTCACACTCAACATCCACTGTGCAGCATTCCCAAAAAATAAACAGTAAAATTAGCTGATGCCTATTTTGGTATAAACAGCACCATTGTTTGTTTGGGGGGGTTGTATCCATTACACTAACACTCCTTTTTTAGATTTGTCAGCTGAAGCAACGAGTAATTAAGCCAATCACTAAGCAAGCGAGAAAGAATAAAATAAAAAATAAAACAACAATATTTAATTCAGTTGTCTAATCATCATCATCTATTTTCCACTGCTGTTTTTGGATGTTAATAATACTAACAGTCAAGTGACTGTTATTAATATTGTACATTTAAAACAGCTGTTGAGCCAAAGTGTTCTCCAATAGAGAAACAAGACTGGCATTGCGAGATTGCCTCACAAGTTTTAATTTTAAGGGTTAAGACCCTACGGCATTTTTATTAAAATTATTTTACCAGAGTAATTTAAAAATGAAAAATACATGAAAATAAACATGATTCAATACAAACTCAACTAAGCTGAATATTAAGGTTAAGACCCTTAAAAAAAATAAAAATAAAAACTTACAAAAGTCCTAAAAAGTTATAGATAGAAAGCCAACCAATATATTCTGTTTAATAATTTTTTCATGGCATGTAAGAGAAAAGTGTGGATGTCACTCAAAAACGTCAAAATGTTAGATGACAACTGTTTTTTTTTGTTTTGTTTTTTTTTACATTAAATTACACCAAATGGTTACCACATGGACTCCTTTCATCACTGGTACGTATGTTTGTATTACGACAGGGGAAAAGAACAGACTGTAATAGGAGTTGTAATATTAGTTTAAATCACAAAAACAGACAACAAATAAATAGAAAATTTTAAAAAAAATTAAATTAAATTAAATTTTTTAAAAAGAGGCAGCGCATGTGACACATGGTGTAACGTCAAGGTGACCGCAGCGGCGCAAAAATGACTTTGTACACAGTGGCAACAAAAGACTAATTTTAATCGATGCTACTGACAGCATGAGTCGCCTACCATCTGTTGATAATCTCAGTGTCGCTGCTGCCTCCACTGAACGCTTCCATTTCCTGCTCGTAGCGGTCAAAACGCAAAAATCTCGTCGAAAACACCCTCAGTTTATACATTTTTTAATTCTTTTGACTGTAGTTCCTTCTCTGAAAAACAGTCACGTTTTGATGAGACGCACCGCTGGACTAATTAATGTCGTCATCACGTCACCCGGCGTTCTTTGCGTTCATTGGCTCAGCAAAACATTGAAGATAACGTGCATCACAGCGACACTGCATGTATGTCAACCCAGGGTTTCTTCAGCAGACTCTACCAGTTATTCAGTCAAAGGAAAAGGCTGTCATAATGCAGCCATATGAAGAATATACAAATATATTACAGAAAAATGCACTTTCCCTACAAATAACTCATGAGAGGAACACTGGTAGAAAACTGTGTAAAGTTAATATATTTGTTGCACCACTCAGTGCAGCTGCTTATCTCCATCATAACAGTTGCACATTAAAGCACTAGGCTTTCAACTTTAAACATGATATTGAAGAAGTAAGGTCTAACACTGTCTCATAATGATGGATATGTAGGAATCACTTTGGATTTTGGCGAAATTAAAGTTATTGATTAAATATTCTCTGTGATAAATACCAATAGACTAATCAATTTTGCAATCTGTGTTCTATTAACTGCAAAAATAAATATAGCAGCAAGTCAGGATGAAACATAAAAAACATGTTTATGTTTTTTCTGTATCACCAACTGAAGGCATGTAGGTTCCTATGGTAAGGCAATGCATAGATCTTACATACTACTATAATGACATGGCTTTGTTCAGTGGGACACTTCTTACAGACTAATTCCAAACTCCTCCAGAGCAAGTTACCTGTGCAGCATAAGTTATCAAAGTGATCTAGCAGGTTAAAAGAGATCCTCTCTTGGATCATTAACAGCAGCAGCTTAATACCATAATCAATGTCTATATTGCTCATGGAATATTATTAAAAAGGAAACAGGCCATTGG